ACTTTAAGTACAAAACCCCTCTTTCACTCCTTTTGAACTACAAGAATAATCAACTATGAAAAACCATTAATTAAACCTCCTTTTTATGGGTTTGACCCTTACTTTCTCTATCTACTCTATAGTGGTTAGGTTTTGTGAGGAAAAAATAAATAACAAATTTGCTGGTAGTACGACACACTATCGTAGACATAAAAAATAGAAGAAAAGTCAACAATATTGCCACCTTACCACTAACAACAAAACAAGTGCTCGACCACTATGATCTAGATGTAAGGATAAAAATAATGACTTCATTTCGACACCTCTTCAACATTACATGTGCTTCCTATAAGCTAATAGTAGGTTTCGGGTGCCTCACCGATGTGCCACACATGCCTAATTTAACCTCTCCATTTTGTCTTCCTTTTAGTCTATTTGGTTTCGATATGTTCTTCATTGTGCTTGTTTTTCCTTAAACTTCTAATTGAGGTATACAAATCTCTATTCTTTTATTTTATTTTATTTTTTGTTAATTGACATAAATATATGGCATATTGTATGATAAGTTTTTTCTTAATGATATTTTACCGAGTTTGATGTGATTAATATAAAAATTGGATTATTAATCGATTATTGATTTTAGAATTAGGCTTAATTAAATAATATAACACTTTTGGTCTTAGTTATTTGTTAGATGTATTTGTTTGCTCAAACATGATGAGTGTAATATGAAAACAAATAAAGACTTGATTTACATACATCTTTTTATGAACCCTTGATGTTTTAGATTTAAACTTTATGAATTTGAACTAATTAAATTTTATTTTATTATACAAATCCCTAAGGAACTATTGATCAATGATGAATCTAGCTTATGCGAAATGATTCAACAATAAGCAACCACCAAATAGACCTAGGCTAAGATTCCTAAGCTATGAACTAGCTTATATGGACTCCGATCAGACCTTAAACACATCACAATCAAAGATCTAATTAACAATCAATGAGAACCTCATGCACAAACACTCATAAACCCATAATCACCAAACCACAAAACCTCTTAACCCAAATTTAGGGTATATGCGATCACCAAGCAAAACAACTCAAAATTGGCTGAAATTTTAATAAAATCTAGATAATACCTAGAAGTATATGCACCAAATTTTAGGTCATTCTAAATTCCCCATCCCTAGTTTCAACTAGTCAAAAATCTAGACATAATAGGTTTTCAAAATTATAACGATTTCGATACCCCAAAAACAAAAAAATATATATATTTTTATAATTTTATATTTTTCATAAGAGTTAAAAAAGACCCCATTAAATTGCTACTTTCAAAATTTCAAACAAATCTAAGATTCTTAGCCTTCGTTATCTTCATGAACACCAAAACTATTTGTTCTAGAATCCTAATATGCATGTAATTTAACAAGCGAAGAAACAAGAAAAGTAAAGCATGCCTCAATTTATAAACCTTAAGAAGAGATCTATTAATCAATTTAATTTAGAGAGTACTTACAAGATGCATTCTTTAAGAGTTTACTTGATGTAATTTTGATCTAAGCCTACCTTAGTTAATTAATCTAAAGATGTGTTCACTACGTCCTAGCCAATCTAAACAAAAGAGATATATAAAAGTTATAGAGAATCCTCTAATTTTTATTAAAATATTCATCAAAATCTAAATTGAAAATTAGCATAAAAGTGTGGTCGATATAAAGTCGGCTAGGGTGGGATTTTCCTCTTTAGTCGATTCTACCCCTTTTTCTTATCTAGGACTCTTTTCCAATTTTAAGATGGATTTGTGTCTGTCATCTCTAATTAAGAGTTTATTAATTTAGCCTAATTAAATCTAGATCTATATATTATATAGACTAGAAATAAATAAGAAATCCTTAACAAATAAGGATCCATGTTACGCAAGGATTAAGTTGCTCACTAGGCCATATGTGACCATATCCCCATAAAATAGGAAATCTAAAAGAAAACTAATTAATTAGCCCAAGTTCATACAATTAAAAATAACCTAACTTAAAAAAATATAACCCAAATAAATAAAAGATAACTGAATTAAATAAAAGACAATCAATATAATAGAGGGCTGAAAGTTTCGATCACTTTAGGGTTTCAAATTTTTGACTAAATTGGAGGGTGGATGTTCCCGCATCATTAGTAATAGGCTAGCACTTTATTTTTTTCTATCATGAAATTAAGATAACCCACTATAAATCAATAAGTCAAGGACCTTGTGAAGGTCAATTGTTTCTTTTAATTTATGTATGGTAGTCTCAAAATGATTTGTGTATTTTACATGTCTTCTTTGATTATGTTTTTGGAGTTGAAATGATTAGTCTAGGTTAATCTAGGCATAAGTTATTTGAAGGCATTCTCTACCTTTGTATATGATTTTTTCCCTTTGTCTCTTGTTTGTTAGCCTATGATTTTGATTCCTTATCTCTAGGAAATCATAAGGATTGATAGTGGACTCTTTAGAGCCGTACCTAATCGCTATAAATCTTTAGGTAGGTTATGGAGGGTGTCTAAACTCATAAAGGGGTTATCTCTTCTACAAAATCCTACTACATCTCTATAGAAATCATCATAGGCTTTCATTGGTGTGTTTTTTTTTTTTTTCGAATGGACCTACATCATCATCCCTTTTAGAGAGTTTTTTTTTACTGTTTTATTCCTAATTTTTAATACCATTTTTTTAGAGATTTTTTGAATAGATTTAGACATAGTGTTATTAAAGTCATTAATCATAAGTTTATCCTTTCTTTTTTTTTTTTTAGGATTCTAAACTCTAAATGATTACTCACATCAATTAAGATTTGAGTTAAACCCATACAAGTTTGTCTTTTCAAGGTTTGGAATGTGTCTAAATCATGCATTATCCCTCGTTACAAAATTATATCTTTCTTTAATATCATATTCTATTAGTATGTGTGTAGTTTACTAGTAGCTAACATTAGTTTTTTGTAATAACTCTATATCAACTCCATTTTTAGTTTGTGTTTATCCTCTATCTATTGGTTAAAGCTTGATATTCAATTTTTATTAACTTACGAGTTCTTTGAACCTAGCCTCAATCTGGTTCTATCTCTTCTTAACTAACATTAGCACAAGTAAATCAACTTAACTACTTGTTGAAGTCTTATCACTTCCCCTTCATCTTGTACATAAAGGTCAGCAGCAATGAATTTTGTCATCCTCATCCCAATTTGATGGACTTTAGATGCTACTCTTTTTGTTGCCATCTAGTGTAAAACTCCCATTATGGTCACCAAAAAACTGTTGCGGATTCTTTTGTGTTGGTTTTAACTTAAAAAGACTTTGTAACGCAAGAAGTAAATGATGATTTGGACGCATTATGTAGTATAGCTAATCTTTAAATTGTATCGGTAGATGAACCAAATTAATCTTACCATATAAATTATAACTAACCCAAATGATATTTTTGGTGTTTGATGTTACAAAAAAAATAATAATAATAATAATAAATTAAATTAAACAGGTTGTAAAGGCTCGAAAACCCTTAGAGGAACAATAACATTCCTAATCCGGTTAGGATGCTCGGATTGTAGGGATGATAACTCAAAATAAAAGATGATTTAAAATAAAAATTGAACTTTTTATTCTAATGTGCGATCAAAATAATAAAATTAAACTAAAATCTAGAGAACTAAACCATTAAAACATTAAGAATAGTATACCACACTATAGATGAAAATTTAAAAATTATGAACTTGAAGATTTTACAATCCAATACTTCATTCTTTATAATATTGGAAATGATGAACTTACAATAAAAAAGAATTATATGTATTCATAGGATAAGGCCCTAGACACAATATATCTTGAAGGAACTACAAATGATGATTATTGTGAGTTAGAATAGAGAATCAAAAACCAACTACTAGCCTATACTATCATCACCTATAAATTACCACCTACAAGCTATTGCCTATTAATTACCATTTACTAGTTACCACCTAACATGTTTCAAGCATGACACTTGTAAAATGCCTTGTAAGTCTGTTTCTACTTTACAAGAGTTTGATTGTGTATTATATTTTTCTATATTTTTCTCTTCTACTACAATCAATATTTATAGAATTTTTCTCCTTCATGATCTCTAGTGATGGACAACTCTTTCTCACATGTACTAGTTCTCCATATTCTTTTTTCTTTCTCTACAATGCATTCATGTTCTTCTTTCTTAGGCTATAGTGCATTGTGTTTCTTTTCCTACTCTATTATTCTTTTGCTACAACTCTTACGTTTCTTCTAATTATTTGGATTGTGTTTTTATTGTTACTAAAATTCTGTTATTCTTTAACTCCTTGTACATTACATTTTACTGGTCACTTCGCCCTTAGCAGAATAGGACTTTTTCTCACGTCTTTGCTTAGTTATTGCCTTGGTGAGTGCCTTATTAAGGGTCCATATTCTGTTTGTTTCTCTTAAGCTTACATAAGGCGTTCCAATAGCTTTTCCAGGGCTAGCTTATTGCACCAAATGCGTCTGTTGGACTTAGATAGTTAGGGATGACCTTTTCCAACTAGAATGACCATAAACCCAATGGGCTTGTAAGAGAAGTCAATCAAGAATATTTAAAAGGAATCCGTTGAAGAACTTGACGGGTTTTATCCATTATTTTTATCTAATTTACTCGGCTCAAGCCCAGAATAAATTTAGGTATAACACCAAGTTTTTAAAAAAGTATGCAAATCCTGTTCGTGAGGGCATGAGTTCTACATAATATAAAATTTTTTTTACCTTCTCAAAGGAAGGAATATATTTATATTGGTGATACATTCGCCAAAATAATAATAATAATAATAATAATAATAATAAAAGGTAATTGAAGGAGCACCATTACATACTCGAACACCATGAATATCACCATACGAAATTCCGTACATATCTGAAAAAAGGTAAAAAAATGCAAGAATAAAAGGGCTGGAAGCGTGTGCCTCGTGTATATATTTATATATGTACGATTTCTTTATACTTTAGGGCTAAATGTGCTTCCCGTGTGCCTCGTTGATGTCGTTTCTAAGCAACATGACTACTTTCTCAAACTCATTGAAATTGGTAACGACTTTGTTGAGCTGGCTTTGTTGCGAACTTGGTGGAGACTGGAAGCGAATTCGAATGTCTTTGAATTCTTCCCAACATTTCAAGGCTTCTTCCCTTGGGTGTTCTAACATTATATGAATGACAGCCTGCAAGAACAGCGTTAGAGAAAAATCGACAATTATCAGTACTGACATATAAGATAGTGCAAAATATATTGCAGGAAGTTTCGATCATCCTTGTGAGTTGTAATTTGCTGGCGTTTCGCTATTAATATATATGTATCTCCGTGTTGGTTCAAATTGCAAAAGAGTGGAGCTGGGATAACTTATATTTTGGTGCATGATTTGCTATATATATTCCATTGGTTGAATACTTAGAATTACAGTAGGTAATAGTTTAGTTAAAAAAAAAAAAAAAAAAAAAAAAAAAAAAAACACCACTATATATTAGTCGATAACATTACTTATTTGATAAAACAATTCGACAATAAAGCTGTTGGAAGGATTATGTAAATTTCAAGTCTAAAAAAAATTATATTATTGAAGTTACTGTAATTGAAAGTAATATAAAACTATTTTTTTGAATCTTATCTAATAATTTAAACTTAATCTTAGGGATTAGTTAACTCTTTAGATATTATCGGCTCGACAAAACCTGCTGGGCACTGTAATTGACTCTTTCCCAAAATTTATGTGCAACTCCATTTTATATCAAGTGAGGAGAGCAGCTTGAGTTGAATAATGCATGTTTGACAGGAGAATAGTGGGAAAAGATTTCCTCACCTTATATAGAGGACGTCTTGCGTCAGAAATTTCTTCATGATTCAGGCATTCACAGGCTAAAGCCTTCTCAAAATCTCCCTAGAGCGGTGCATCCAAATAAAAATATTATACTTATTAGTACTCTATCATGGTTTATGTAACACACGCACATACATGTATATATAGATTGGATTAGCTAGAAAGTGGAATGAATTAGGTAGCACCTTGTAGATGCACATTTCTACAAGAAGCATTTCAATCTCATAAGCTTCATGTGATTTCCCTTCCTTTTGAGCCCTTTTCAGTTCTGTTTCCAGTATTCCCACCGCAACCGCTTCTTGTCCACTCATTTCCAGCTTCGCAACATTGCTCTAATCACATATAATGCGGAAACCTTAAAAATCTCAGTTGTTTTTGGAAACCTTAATATGGGAGCATAATACTAGTAAGCATCCTCCGATAAGCCGTGCCTAGAATAAGATTCAGTGACACTTGAACAAAAATTGAAGACTCACTATGCAAAAATTTCACTAAATTAGAAGAGAAGCCTAACCTGAAGCTGTTTGAAATCAGGAGGTTCTTCTGTCAGTAAATCCTTTAACTGAATTTCAGCTGCTTCAAGTGATGCTGCATCTGCTCGAGCACGATTATAATCAATCATTCTCTCCAAGGCCAGTTTCCCTCCATGGAGAGCTCCTACAGACATAGATCTTGTAAACACACCATGAACCTTCATTTTTCTCTTACACGAACGTTTTGCATAAGCCCATCCGATGTAAATGCTGGCAAATATTACAGTTGCTGTCGCCGCCATTGCTCCATAATTATTCTTTAAACTGATGTTGTTAAAGAAATCCTTTAAGTTTACGTCTAGATTTCTCTCCAAGGAACTGTTGAGAACAGGCATTGTTGTCGATTTATGATTTTGCTAGTCTGTGAGAAAGAAAATTTTCCTTAGGAAGCATATATGCTAGTGGAATTGCTTCCAACCCGGGGAGAGGTGCAGGTTCAAATTAATGAAACAAGTTAATTCATAAAGGTGAACATTGAGAGCGAAAGTGAAAGCTTGTTTGAGAACAAATTATTCTTATTTCTGCCTTGTTGGGTGGGTAAAGAAAGTTGAACAAGTGCACAAGCATAGTAGCATTAAAAAGCACGAAAAAATATATACCTCTCCTACTTATGAAGGAAAAAATATTGCCTTTCATATGAATGTTCTTGGAAAATTCTCATCTTTCAAGTTATGCTAGTTCCTAATACCAAGTTACAGCAAGGCAGAAAGGAAGATAGGGATACTATGGTGTGAACAGCAGAGCATAGGCTTCGAGTAATTGACCATGAATATGGGGCACAATTTGATCTGTCTCAATTTGGGATCTCCAGCTATTCATGAAGGGAATAATATGTTCTGATAATTAAATTTTTGTGTATAATCAAAGCGAAGGCTTATATTACAATGCCTGACAATTATGCCTTGCCAGTTACATCTACTAAAGTACAACGCCTGACAATTGTGCCTGATATAGATGCCTTCCTTGCAATACTTGACATACTTTCTTTATTCTCAGTTATTTCCATTTAAAGCGCAACCAGTAAAGGATGTTTTCTGAAACTCCAAAAACGAAAACCATCATATGGCATCTATGCTTTGCCTTGGCAATGGAAATCCACCTTCGATGCATCTATGCATACCTTCCACAGTCAACATTATTCCTTGGAGGACTAGACTTCATTCTAGCCTTGTCTCTATTTCTCCTTCACTTACAAGCTGCTATAAACGCCACAGATTTGGGCATGTCTTCCGTCCGATAATTTGTGCATCAGCCAGGTCTCCAACACCTTCAAGAAATGAAAAGAATTGTGATAACAAAATTGTGAGAGCCGCAGTGGGGGCATCTGTAGCTTTGGCTTGTGCTTTTGGTATAATTGGTGGCAACTTCAGAATGAATCCTAACGCCATTGCTGGTCCTAAGGAATTGTATCAGAAAGCTCCACAAGTAGAAGAACATCCTTCATCACTTGGGAAGCTTGCACTGGAATCGTTCCTGGATGTGACATCGGACCTAGCTTCTACCGGTACAGTGGTCCCATTTGCTCCTTTTGAGCCGCCTCCAAGCCCTTCAGCAGAAGAGGTTAAAAATATTAAGGTTAACTTCTTTAAAACCCTTAAATGTTACCCTTCCATGTCAGATTAACTTTTTGATTAAAAATAGAAACTTTAACTGATATCCAGACCAAGCAATGAGTTCACGGTTCTTACTACACCTTCAATTTAATGAAAAATTATCTGCCCAAAAGGATTATTTATGGTATTTTTGGTACCAAATTGCACTTACCTCTCATTGGATATGTTGATTTATCCTCATTTAAGTGGAACAGAATTTTGCATGACCTTCTTCTTTAGAAGCATGATGAAAATTGTTAGCTTGTAATTAATTCTCAGAATACTAACTGAAAGCAAGAATATAGTAGCAGCGTAAGAAAAAGAACTTCACCTAGTCATGTTTCGAATTATGAAAAAAATTGATTGGCACAACTGTTTTACTGTATTGAAAATCACTCAAGATATTTTGCAACCAAGTTTGATCTACTATCTTGAAGACAAAAGCCAAAACTGTAAAACGGCCAGCCTCTGCAGTTCTTTGAGGAAAACCAGAAGATTTACTTGATTGAAGTAAGTAGTAGGCTGGAACTGAAAAATGTTCAGATTCGCTGAATGCAAGTCCAAGAATATGATTCAGACAATGAATACTATCCATCACAATAAACATGTCAAATTCTGGGCTGAAAATCCGTTCTGCTATCTGCTATTTATTTTCTATTTTTAAAGGCACTGAATTTTCATAGATAGGACAATTAAAAGGTTAATTAAATTTGTTATCAACAATATGTTTGCAGAAGGATGCAGTGCGGCTAATGATATATGGGAAAGATGAAGAAGCAGTGAGGTACCTGCAAGAAGCATATGAAAAGTATTGGAATGATCCTGAGCCTGCATATAATGTGGAGATGGCATTAGTCGAAATTCTCATTTATCAGGTATTTACGTACGACTTCCAAAATGCATGCAAATGTTTGGGTACTAAACTTGCACTGTACTGATCAAAGAGGTAAGGTTACCAGTCATTAGCTATGTTAATTAGGTGTTTGTATTTGTCTACTACATATATATGTCCAGAATCTTGGCAAATATATACGCTCTTTTCCTCCAATCTAATTAAACAAAGGACATATCTAGGTAACCCAGCACTGCTTGTCATATATAGATTCATAGCTGATAGAATCAATAAACCTCAACTTCATCAGCACTTGGATGTGTAAAATTAAGAAAAATGTGTCACTCAGAATCCTTAAAAGTATGTTTCACATCTTAGATTAATTTTTCATTGGTTGCGTAATCAAATATTTCTTCTTTAAATTTCCTTCCGACCTCCTAGCTAGTGAGTAATTTACCAATTTTAATGCTTTCCCAAGTTCAATAATCTGTCGGTTCCATATTATTATCTACAGTACTGTAAAATTCTAGTACGTAACCCTATACATAATTCACGGGGTAAACCTTGTTGCAAGACATTTGTACGTAACTAACATAAGACTTTTGCATCATCACTGTTTCACTCATGACTTTCCTTAATCGATCGGTTAATCTATGCGTTGCAGCACAAATACGAGCAGGCTTTGAATTGCAATTGCCTCAACGATGATAATCAACTCCGCCCTTCAGATGCTCGGGTTTTCCTTTACAAGGTCGTTACATCTTGGGCCATCATCTATCAGAAATTCTATGCTACGGCCTAACCATTTGCAAATTAATATTCCTGAATTTTTTCAACAGAATTAATTTTTTACTTGATAATTGGTGTTTATATATTATCTTGTAAACTTCAACTTGAACTTACAAAACATATATTTTCACGAACTTATTCAACAGCCCTATAGTTCAGATTTATTATCCTAATATATAACTAGATGCATTTATTTTTTCTATATTTGTACAGGCAATTATATATACCATGTTGGATTTCAACGTGGAAGCAAAGATATGGTGGGAAAAATACGTGGATGCTGTTGAAGGAGGTTTTCTGCCTATAAGATAAGCTTTCCGTGTAAGCAAAGAGGAGCAACCATTGGCATCAAAATATCAATATGTGGGAGAAAATAATATTGTAACTTGATTTTTTGCTCGCACGACCATGATTTGCCACATAACATTTTCTGACTTAAGCAATGAGGAGAGTAATTCATGAAAGAAATAATAACAAGGAGCCACTATGGAGATCGTGTAGCCACATTCTGAATGAAGCAAGAAGAACATTTTGGAACCTTTTTGCTCTTTGAGAAAAATTCCTTTTACGGATAACACAATTAATCATGAAAAATTTCAGATGTCTCAAGTCAACAAAAATAATATGAAAGGAAATGTAAAAGCTACGTTGTAGGTTATATATATATATATATATATATATATATCCAGATTTTAGTATTTGGGATCAATTTTATTATCTGGGATTAAAACAGAGTTAACAAGCTAATGAAGATACTAAACAATCGATATCTGTTTGACCTCTAATTTCAAAAGATTAGCTTCATGGTTTAAGAGGTTTGTTTCGTTTTTTATTTTACTCGATCCAAACGTTAGGTTTGTGCTTTTTTTTATTATTATTATTAAATTCATATGAATGTACTATGTAGATAAGAGAGATACGCCTCAAATTGCCCGGTATTGAGTTATATATTGTGTAGGGACTGTTAGTTAATATACTCTTCTTATATTATAGGATTGTATCTAGTCATACAGTTTTTATATATTCTTGTATTATTATATACATGTTCTTCGGAATACCAAAACCCTATATACACACACCATACTTAGCCGTTAGTTTAATTTGTCTAAGCCGAAAATACCTTAAATTCTTTTATGTTTAACTTGGTAGCAGAGTGCAACAACATATAACCGCAAAATCATGTACTCTTCTTCTTTCACCACCTCTAACCCCTCCTTACCACAAGCTACTGATGTATCTCCACTCCTCAAACCTCTGTTGTTTTGAATACTCTCCAATCATAAGCAACACCTATTTTTGTCCCTCTCACAAAAGCTCATCACTTCATATTTATTAAACTTGCAAACATGATGCATGTCGAGTGCACCAAACTTAATTTATTGTTCTTACCAAAATGTATTAATCCTCTCCAATCACAAGCAACACATGTTTTTGTCCCTCTCACAAAAGCTCATCACTTCATATTTGTTAAACTTGCAAATATAATGTGTCAAGTGCACCAAACTTAATTTATTGTTCTTACCAAAATTTATAGTAAAAACAAGCCTAGGTCAAACCCTAAAAATTGTTATCTTTAGAAAAAGAACGGTTTTGTTTGCTTAGCCGAATTATAAAGAAAGCAAGAATAAAATAAGAAAAACCTCAATCTAGAAAAAACTTCGAGTTTAAGAAAAAATTCAAATATTCAATTTGCAAATTGATCACCGACACCTAAATTGCTATTTTTTTCATTGAATATTTATCCTAGATTTACCTTGAAGTTAAAATAAATTCAATTATTTTATATATTTAATAAATCAAAACTTCATGATTGAATTAAATTCTTATTATCAATTAATTTTGGTATTGAAGCAAATACTAATCAAATCAACAATAACAATACAAATTAGAAAAAATAACTAATTTTAAGACGCGTAATTATTTAATTCATCATTTTATTTTCCTTAGGTAATCAAACCTAATTTTCTATTTATACCAACCTTTCTTAACAATTACGAATTAACGGAATTAGTTAGATATCAATCGCAATAGATAATCAACTAATAGACCTCTTAGATAATTACCCATGTAATCATGATTAATTTAATTTAGAGATGAATTAATTAAGCTCGGAAAAACAAAATATACTCAAATCATCAAGGATAGTTTAAAGACCAAACTTGTGTTTCACAATCTTTTGTAAATTGTAGGTGAAATTCCATGAACTAAATTAAGAAAATTTAGCTACACATTGCTTGAAGCAATAAATCCTAAATTATGTAAAAGAAAGTGTCTCCCTAATATGTAGCCCTAAAGGCTATTTATATATGTAAAGAGATAAAGTATGATAGCTAACAAAGTCCTATTTAAGCTTGCTTTTGAAATTAATTAGGACTTGTTGTTGAATAGGATTCTAGATTTCGTACTGAAACTTCGAACCGACCTATAGTTAAAAGGAAGCAAAATTTGGACTTGATCTCTTCATGAATGTTATAAGTTTAGATTTCTTCTTTCTATATGCTTTTGAATCATCTTAATCTAATATACTCAAATCATCACGGAATTCACATTTCGTTCCTAAATTTTCAACCAACTTTGACGACTCAAAACAAAATAGATTTGTGCATTTAACATAATCGACAAGCCTAAGATGCCCACATTAACTTTTAAGGCCAAGTTTATATTCTGGAGTTTTAAGGATGTGAAATTTTTATTTCTTCCTCAAAAGGTCATTCTACCAACATTGAAATTTTGCCTTAATTAATACACTTTTGCTTTTTTAACTCCATTTATCTCTTAAATCATAAAATAAACTTAATTTAGTACATATAAAGTAAAATCACATTCAAATGACTAAAAATAAGAGAATAAATATAATCAATAATGCTAACTATCAAAACACTAATTATCTATACTCAAAGATTTAGATAAAACCATTCTTCTAAAGCTAAGTATTGTTTGGCTTTCTTGATGGGACCAATGGTGAGAAGTGAGAAATAAATTGTATTTTTTTATTTCTGCCTTTATTGAGTTAAAAGTCTTTTTATATTTACTATACTTAGAAAATTGCTAGACTTTGGAACTTGTCGGACTTAACTTGTTATGACTCTAGATTTATCATTTTAGAATTATATGTTAGTTCCTTTAAATAGTGTCTATCCTTCTTTTATGCTATAGAGAAACATTAATTAGAATCAAAGGCATTGAGCATTAGTTTTGCCAAGTATTTATTAATCTTAAAATCCCTTTGTTCACTCATATTGCTTTCACTACTTTCCTATAAATTTGGTAACAAAGCTTCTTTTTTTTTTTTTTTCAAATGGCTTCATCATCCAACACTACCATTTTCACATATACAAGAAATTAGGTTTCCCTTTCCTATAGAGAGCATTATGATTATTAAAGCATTATATTCGGAAAGATTTATGGATGGGTACTATTTCTTTTAAAAAATTCCTTTCCATCTCTATTTGCTCTTACCGATGATAGTTTATATAAGGTGGCAAATATGGGGTTTTGATTTGGTTATAATTGGTTTTGAAATTTTGGATGGAGGAGGCATCTTCGTTTAAATAGAAAAGAAATAAGAATATACACTCCTAGATGCTATTTCGGTTCTTATATGCATAAGGAAGTCGTTGATCAAATTGTATGGTCTTACGATAGTAAAGGCATATGTTCCCTCATATCTTATTGTTCCTTGCTCAATAATCACTTGTATGTAGATTTCTAATAAGTCATTCATATACACGGTTAAACCTTTCTCCACCAAAGGTCAAAGTCTTTACTTGGATTGCAATTTTAAAAAGAATGAACGAGTAGGAGTTCATTTTCTACAAAAGGTTTAATAGGAAAGGACACTAATATTTATTCTTTATGTAGTTCTAGTTAGGAGCCATGATTTTTTTTTTTCATAAAATTGCTCATAATCTTCTAAATGTTAGACAAATCATAAGAAAAGGTTATAAATTAATTTTTGATGATGGCGGATGTAAAATTTTTTATAAGAAAGTAAATAAAAATATATTAGTGGTGAAAATGGGTTCAAGCAATGTTTTTCCTTTGAACATGAAAATACTTCAAAATGTTACACTTAGAAGTGAGCATGTTGATGATTCTTATTTATGGCATTTGAGATATAGCCATTTGAATTTCAATGGCGTATAACTCGTTGAAACAAAAGGTCATGGTGGTTAGAGTTCTCTCAATCTAGAACTAGACAATAGTTTGTGAAGGCCATATATATTGAAAAATGCATCAATTTCGTTTTCAAAAAATAGCTTGCAGAGACAATGCATGATTATATTAGTGTAGGTACCTAAGATCCAATCATTTTTAGATGGTTTTAATGTTACATTATCACATATTTATTAATAAAGAAGTATTTCTATTTATTTATGTTATTTATAACATGATGGAATTAGATAGAAATTCATTTGATGTATATTGATTTGATGTTTGATCAATAGATGTGAGACAAACATCAATCCCCTTAAATAAAATCATTAAATATCATAAGTCATAGCATTGTCAAAATTAGGCATTAACAATATGTGATAAGACTTATGTGTGCTATGCATTGCTAAAAGATAGTAGTAGGAGATCTCACTCCTACTAGTATGGTGATGCCAAAGCAAACACATATATGAATAATGTTAGAGAACATATCACTAGATGTAACTCATCATGAGAAACCATTTGGTCTAGTTCATGAGAATCTCATATGAGATGGGTATAAGCGATCCTTTAACTTGAAGTTATCATGGTTATCTCATCAAAGGATTGATGTACTTTGATATTTGTTTAATGGGCTCAAGAAAAAGCTAGATATGGGTGATTCATTAGGTGTATCGGGATTCTAATGGAGATATGTGGATAACTAAGATATGACATGTCATTCCTAATAAGTTATTAGAGTTATTATATAGCATTTCAATAAATGTCAACTCAAGCATCTATGGCCATAGTATAAGTATACCGAGTAGAGCATTATTAGTATACTTAAGAGCTAAAACATTTGAAGATTGAAAAAAATTATGTGATCATAATTGAATATACATCAAACCAAGTTCGAGATCACGAGTATGGTAAATTGACTTGAGGATTGAATTGCTTAGAAACCATACTTGTGGAAGGTTATTATAGATTAAGTAATCCTTCAAGATAACTATGTAGTCATGATGCCTTACTAGAGACTAATCTTGATTGATTTATTGAGACATAAAAGAATTGTCTTTTACTTTTTAATGTATTACTAATATATCTAAAAGCCTATTGATTAATATGAATAAGTTTAACATTGATTCGGATACGGAGAAGTGAAGGATTATGAAAGAGGATGGGAATTGAAATAATTATTTTCAATTCTTTAAGCATTGAAAAGGATTTTAGAAATAGTTTTCGAATTTGTAAATAGTTTCTTAAAATATTTAAAAATAGTTTCTTAATTTGAGTTTCCTAATTTGGTAGAGGTAATTTAGGAAATGGTTTTCAAAATTAGGCCTTCCTAAAATACCCAACTCAACTTATTTGTATGGTCCATTTAAATGCTCGAGCCATTTGGCCAAAGGTGGTTGGGTCGAGAGGCTTTAGGAAAAGCTCGTAAGGGATATTTTAGGTAGAGGGCCATTTTTAAGAACTTCAAGTAAAAGTTTATTAAGCCTAATATAGGGCTTATAAATAAAAGAAGATGCATCAAGCCATATGAATGTTAAGATAGAGAGTTGGTTGAAATTCCCCTTAACGGAGAGAAAGGTGCACAATCAAGTAGTCCACATATAAAATAACTCCTCATTCTTGGAGGATAAGGAAGCAACAACCTAGAGTCCTTTATGGACTCATGGCCGCCCCTTTCCTTGTCCTTAGAGAAAAGGAAACTCTCCCCTATATATAGGAAGAGAGGTACGACAAGGAAAAAAATAGGATGACCTAAAAAGAGTATTTCTTGCCAAGTAAAATCATAAGATAAAATTCAGCCAATAAAAGAGAGAAAAAAATGAGAAAAATTCAGCCGACCTCTAAAATCATCTAAGGCACACGGCCAAGAGAGAAAAAGGAAAAAAATAGTTTTCTTCTAAAACTCTAGCAAGAAATACTCTTACCTTCTCCTTGAAGGATGTCGCAAAGTTGCCCGAGATTGATTTCTAGAGGAAATACTTAATCAAAAAAGGTGGAGCTAGCACCCCATCAATTTTGAGTGCTTCTTTTTAGATATTTAGGTCGCGTCAATTATCAATTGAGGCTGGACACTTGAACGACTAATCAAAGAAAAGGAATTTAGATTTATGCTACA